GTGTGTAGATAACACGTTTACAAAGATAATCGAACATAAGGTAAGCATGCCTTAAGACAACCAATCGAGAACAAACAAAGGACAAAACAATTCCGTTAATCCACATGTGAGTTCCAATGTCAATGAATCATCAATCAATCAAAGGAATCCGTCAAATTCATCAAGTACATCAAGCATGAATGTTAATAGTGAAACCAATCAATAATCTCGACTCACCACTTAGCTATCTCGACTCTTGAACAAACATCAAGCTTCATGCGGGAGAGATGACACAAACACACAAAAACTAAAATAAAACCGGTCCACGACACAAAAAATAAGACACCAAAACGAAGAAAATATCACCTAAACATGCGTAATCACGAAAATCCCTCCCCCACACTTAAAACAAAGCAATGTCCTCATTGCTTGACCAAAAAGCATAAGATCGAGCACACAATCACACAAGTTTATGCGAAAAACAAAACGAAACTCAATAAACGAGCAAACGAGAACACACAAGAACACACAAGAAACAACTAAAGAAAAAGAAAATAGGAAAAGAAAATGCGTACTCGACACGGTGGTGGCCACCACCGTGCGTCTAATGGTGATCGTCCGGTGGGAATAGAGTAAATAATCCGAAAGCCATCGAGCTCAAATGAAGCCATCCAAACGGTTGGGCATTAAACCAATAAAATCATACGGGCCATATGTATGTGTCTCGGAGAAATGATATCCGTGCTTCCATGAACTCGACGAAGACACACGTATACGTTAAAGCTCAAAATATCGGGCATATAACATGCAAAATGTAAGAGAGTCCCGTTCTTCGGTACCGAATGAAGGCCACTTGTATGCATTTCGGAGAAATAATAACCGTAATTCCATAAACTCGACGAAAATGCACTTATGCGTGAAAGCTCAAAATATTGGGCCACGGGGTTGTTAATGATACGCGCAATAATATAACACAACCAACTCCTCTTTTGAATTAACGCACGAATCGATTACCGGCGGTTGCCGTAAGTAGAAACCTACAAACTCAAAAATCCGGCAACAACACGAAAATTGGCACGCCCGGCAAGACGTGCCTATCACACAAGTCTAACCCACATAATGTATCACGACTACTCCGGCAAGAGTAGTAATCAAGCACAACAAAGATAATGCAAATATAAAAATACAAAGCAAGTTCGAGGCGTTGTACCTTGAAAAA